TAGTGATAAGTGTCCAGTAATAAGACTGTGGTGATCTAGACCTTTATATGGCAAGCCATGTTGTGGCTTGTAATTAAATAGGGGAAACAGTAGGTAATGATAAACAAGCTCTAGAGAATTTAGTCTTCCTCTACCTACAGCATTATGTTCTTCAGGGAAGTCCTGTGTTGGTCTAAATTTGAGATATTGGTAGCAAAAGATGGTTGACCTGATTCTCCAGGGAATCTGAGGGCATGTGTTTGAACACTGTGTGTGTTATGTACATGTACATACTTCGGAACATAAAAGTTCCTTGCAGAAAACTATGTGAGTCATTCCATTTTCAAGAAATTGATTAGATAGAGCCAGTAGGAAGGTAAAGATAGAGATGCTAGTTGGAGCAAAGCCTCATTCTCAAATCTGGGTTCCATGTTGGAGATGCAGCTAAAGAACTGGGGCTTCTTGGGAGTTCTAACCAGGATGAAGCACTGTAAGATTTGAAGGCTTTTCAAATTAATGTTCCTCTTATCCAGTGTATCCTCCCCTATCTTATTAGCTAAACCCTCCCTGTTCTTCAGGGCACATTCCAGTACAGGTTCCTCCACAGAGACTTCCTTGCCCTGAGCCACAGAGCATTGTTACTCCTCTGAAACTTCTAGACTCTTATTTTTCATGCTCTATTCCTTAGGCAACTCAATGTGAATTACAAGACTTATATGGTCACATTTTATTACAGCTAGATTTAAAACTCCATGGGGGAGGGATTTTCCCTACTTTATTCACCTTAGCACACCACTGGGCACATAATGGATGCTCAGCAACTATTTTCTTGAATAAAGAGTTGCATGCACATATAGTCTGCAATTTCTCTCCCCACTGCTATTTTAAGTTCAAGTATTTGAAAGGTCAAGGAGCACTGCTTATTATTTTTGGCAAGAGCTGCAATGAGAGTTATTCAATGGGAGTGGGATTGAACCCCTTTCTCCCATCCTTCAGCTCTCTTAAAGCCAAGCTGATTAAATATCATATTTTAAAATGGATCATGAAAGCATGCCCGCTACACTTTTAGTGTCAAGACAAGTTTCCCACGTCTCTCTCATCCAGCCAAATTGCCACTCTTGTCTTTGTCTTTCCTACATATAAATTACAGAGCTGCCCCCCGGTTTTTACATCCTTTACCATAGGGGTCCAGTACTCCAGTTCGTATGAGGGACTTACAGGTAATGTTAGTGAGTTAAGGGGATGATATGTAAGATACAGACAGGAGTGGTGGAGACTTTGATGTAAGAGAGCACATGCTCATTTTAAAGGGGCAGCCAAGATGTTTATGTCACCTCGTTTCTGGTATTTTGTTAAGGCAGACCTAGCAAAATGACTCAAGTGATTACTGTTACATGGAAATACAGGTCTCGTATTATTAGATCTTCAGATTTTTCAAGAGAAGCCAGAAATACAGAATTAGATGTAAAGTACATAAATTTTTAAATGCTTCAAATTTTAAAAAACACTGTGCTGGCCAACAACACTGCTTTTCTGCTGGCTAGACATGACCCACAGGCTACCAGTTTGTAACTTCTGTTCTGCAGGTAAATTATGGGGCCCAAGGCAATCATCTCTGTGTACCCCAAGAATTTTTGGCACAAGGATAGTGGAGATCAAATGGCGGCAAATGAATGCACAAGGGAGTCCAAGTCATGTTTTGAACTACGTAAGTTTTTTTATTGTAAAACATTTGTTACAGAAATTTCAGAAAGTTTTTCCCATTTGTATCTGCTAACTTCTGCTTTGAATTATGTATCTAAAGGAACAAGCTCAAAGTGCATTGTGAATCCAATAATAGACATTTAAAAAAGAACAATTCCTCTAAGGATTTATAATATATTTATAATGTCAATAGATATGCAAACTGTGTCTGACCACACACAAAGAAGGAAAAGATGTGTATATATTTAACAAAACCAATTTCAAAATTGCTGTATTTATAGGAATTCATTTAAAAATGATATTTGAATCATTTCCCCCATTATAAACTATGGTTAGAACGTTTACAAATGAGAGTCTAAAGCTCTGTATTATGAAACAGCTATGAGTACAGTACATTGCGTGTACTGTTTTGCACAGCAGGAGCAGCAATATGAACTCAGGTCAGAGGCTGTAGCAACAAGCAGCAGCTAAGCCTTGATGCAATGCTGCGGTGCTCTTCTTCCGAACCTCCCTCACAAAGATCCTGCATTTCGGTCCTGAATGAGGCAGCTCACAAATATCCATGCATAGTTCATTCGGGAGAACAGGAATAATCCTGAATAGGGTAAGTTCCTTTCTCCCCCACCTCAATGCTCATTATATGTCACATATATACTAAGAATCAAAAATGTGACCCTGACTGGCTCTAACTCAGAGGTCCCGAACTACCGCCTCTGGGACTGAATGCTGCTGGCAGACACATTTGTTTGGCTAGCACAGTGTTTGAGAACTGGAATGTGGATGTCTTTGCAGCGGGATGCTTGTTCTCTCATGCCCTACAAGCTCTACTTCCTGTTGTCTTTCACCTGTCCAACAGGCACATTTGTGTCCTGGATCCAGCCCCTCCACATGTTTTAGTTTGCAGCCCCACAGTCGAGATGCAGCTAGCTGGCTCTGATGATATGTGGGAAGCTGGGGTGAAGGTGTGAGGGAGCCTCTTGGGATTCAGACAGGCAAAGAATTGCATGAGGCTGATGCAAACACCAGCTGAGTTTGGAGCAGTGGGTAAAGCTAGTGGGAGGAGGCTAAGTAAGTGGGAAGAAGTGTAGGGCTGGGAGAAGTCTGAATGTTTGGCTTTTTCCAAGTAGTCACTGTTTCAGCTTACTATCAGGGTTCATGGGGTACTGAGGTAATAGGAGTGAGGGTCTGTCGGTCTGGCAAAAAAGCATCTTGTGCTGGGCTAAGAGAAGGAAGAGAGTTAAGGGGGTGAAAAAGCATGTGTGACACGTAACAAGAAGAGAAAGCCTAGGCAGTGCAGGCTGAGAGAAACTTTGCTCTATTCATTTGAAGATCCAGGCACTAGGCTGAAGTTCCCTCTGTGTCCCACAGTTCTCAGCTGCCTGCCTGCTCCAGAGGAAGGCCCGGGTCAAGGCTGGCACTGACACTCTGCAGAAAGCCTATGGACTTCTGGCCACACATGTCCCTTTCACTTTCTAGCACACAAACATAGTGCGGATAGCAGTGGCCTGAAGCTTAAATGGGCTGGTAGACTAGGTAAATTAGAGGAGGGAAAATTCACCTCATTCTTATGGCCATCTGGATTACTTGGCCACCAAAACCCTCTCTTAGCCTCATGTCTTTGCTGACATGAAGAAACTGTCACGTCTTCATTTCATTAGCAGTCACCAGGACAAGCAGTTCATCAGAGAAAAGATAACAACTACCCTCTCCAATGAATTAAGAAAGAAAAAAGAATCACGTGTTCCTTAAATTAGAACTCACCCCTCCTGTGGTTGACTCCAATCTGGAAAAAGAATGTGTGACACGTAAAAAGAAGAGAAAGCCTAGGCAGTGCAGGCTGAGAGAAACTTTGCTCTATTCATTTGAAGATCAGTCAATTATAAGACAGTGCAAATAGGTTCTGCTCTTCCAGCCATTGAATGGCTTCTAATGATGAAATGGTGATTTCTTTAAAGGGCAAACTCTTTAAAGACTAGAGTCACCCAGTGCTTGATCAGACACCCACTCCCCCTTCTTTTGCTCTCCTCCAAGCCAGGCTCACAGACCAGGTGATAAAAGCCGCAGGTAAGAAGATGGGCATTTGTATTACTGGACCATCATTCATCATGGCCTGTGGATTTCTGCACTGTCACAAGCAGACTTCTCACTCTCATCACTGGTTTAGCAATGTGTACGCAGTGGCCCTAAAGAATCAGAAATGTGTCTTTCACATATCACAGATACACTAACACCTAGACCTTGGTAAACCCAAGTGGTGTTGGCTAGCCATCTCTGGGTCTCATAGCTATACACCCTGTGGTCAATTCTTCATTTCATATGATTTGTTCAGAGCTTTAAAAAAGATTTTAAAAAACCCCTGGCTACTATTTTGTCTTCAGTTTTCAAAACCTGAACATAATCTCCAAACAGTGGAAGGAACCCAACATTCTGAATGAGTTTCTAATGGGCTTAAGTATCAAGCAAGCAATAGCAAAATGTGATGTGCCTTTAAAAAGTCAAAAGAAATGCATAAAGCAGTGCATGCATTTTGTTGCCACAAAATTAAGACTGAACTGGAAAGGGATTACTTCATTTAAGTCACATTGCTATTGTTAGAGAATAGTGACTTAGAATGCAACATCTAGAACAAGTATATAACCATCTACACACTAGAGTCACTTTTTCTATAAACAAACATGATAGTGTTACTCAAATGAGCATATTTATAAAATACTGTACACTGCTTCTGCATGGGGTCAGCAGATGTAAACAAACAGCTAATTCAACTGTAGTTTAAAATGTTATTTTAAGTTCATTTGTCGTATAGTCTTTTGCATAACATGCCAGTTGTTCTTTCACAAAATCACAACTTGCCTGTTACCACAGCCCACAGGGCTGGTTAGATGATGTATGTTAGCTTATACAAATATCTTACAGGGTCTACAGGAGAGTGAAACACAAAGCAGAACAGGAATAAAACTGCTCATTTCATGAGGATTCTAAATACACAAAGCAGAACAGGAATAAAACTGCTC